TCAAATATGAATATTCGTTTGATTTTTGTACTTGATTTATATGTTAGACAGCTATATCTTTGGGACCAATTTCTACATACAGCGTGTAGCATACTCTTTTTTTTACTTATTTACTGAACATTTGTATGTATTCAGTGCTCTAAGCTCAGTATGGAGGTTTTGTACAGAAGACTGGGTCAAAAACTAAGCATTTTTGCAAAGCTCTTGATATAAATGACCAAACCACCCGCAGGAAGATTTCATCTATGTAGCCAAACTCATGGTGCTTAACTCCCTTCCCAGAAAACTGTACTCCCACAGAAGAGGGGTGCTGCAGAGCTCTTTCCCAGAAGGGATTTTTAGTAGGCTCAACGTCCATCTCTGAGGCTGACAGATTGGGAAAGCTGGAAATGTATCCCTCATGTCCTTTCACCCTTTCACCTCTTTGCAGGAGGCTCCAAACCTCCTTCTGCTGTCCTTCCCTCCTGCTTGCCCTTAGGTGTTGGCTGAGGATGGCTTAAGATAGGAACATTACAGGACCACTTACATTCTAATGACAGGGCGTGGGAAAAATGCCTGGTGGAATTTCAGGCATGGACGTGAAGTGGAAGAAATCCTATTACTTGATGTCAGATAGATCTGAGTTTGATTCTCAACTTTGCTACTAAAGAAGTATGTAGCTTTGGGCAAAATACTTAACCTCACCAAGCCTCCAGTTATTTTGGTCATTAATTTAAAAGAATGACTGAATTTCAAATACCCATTGGGGGAACCTGGTTTAAATTAGGCATTCAGCCCACCTGCATCCTGCGGACCTCGAGGTCGGGGGCGGCCTCCTCAGAAGGGATGCATGGCAACCTTGTGCGGCAACTTGGCAGACACAGAAGCCACATAGTAGCCACTGAATGCTGTGCACTGAGCCCCTGCAGGACCTGCCCTTGGGGCTCAGCGAGCGGCGGCCTAACTCTGCGAGGCCACACGCACCTCTGGAGTTGTGAGGCCCGCAGTGGAAGGCCCGCTACGGCCTCGGCCAACAGTCCCCTCCAGCCTGGATAGGACGCCCCAGGCGGCCGGCAAGCCGGGGCAGAGCACTGGGTGTGCGCATTCCACTAGGACTTGCTTCCAGGAAACCAGCTCGTGCGCCAGGCCAGCAGGAAATGGAAAGCCAAAAGTTCAATGTAACCTTCAGAATTAGGGTATTTAAGAAGCATCCCCTCCTTTGGATGCCAGAGAAAAACTAACAGGCTGGACAGTCTGCTTTGAGATTACTCTGGGATCTTTTATCTTGGCACCCCCACCCTGATCTTAAGGAGAACAATGTCTATTTTTAAGTCTGCCATCTGGAACCAATTGTATTGTATTCTCCACTCTGCTATGATCCCAGGACCACCTGGAATCTGTTGTTTGGGGTTGCCATAGACACAGAGTTCTTATTCCAGTACTGGCTCTGTAGGAGCATCAGGTAAGCAGATCCTGGCCTTGCAGAGCACAAGGGATCCCAGAAATCTGTCTCTACCTTGGCCTGTCCTGGTTCTTGGAACTGCCTCCCTGGAACAAGAAAAGACAGAAACCTCAGAGCTTGGAATTCCTACTCCCACCAAACATGAGCTGGTGTTCTTGTTCACCTGTAAAGACTATTTACAGATTGATTCTAGATTAAATTCAGCCACAGGACACCATGCAGAGATTAAAGGAGGACCCTTTATATCTCTGGTTCATGCATCCAAAAATACAGTTATGGGTGACTCTTTAGGTCCTCTGACAACAATGAGAACAAGGGGAATGATGTAGATGAACTGACATCAGTAATCTCTGATGGAGCCACCAATGAAGTAAAATAGAACAACTTTCCAAGCCTGATGATGGTGATGAAGACATTGATTTTCCTAATTCATGTGAAGATAAGAAGGCTCTAACAGGCTTTGCTGTGTCTTCTAGCCAGAATGTCTTCTAGCCAGAATGTCTTCAGTAGCTCTGACTGGATTGAGTTCACATCAGCGACCAGTAAAGACATCATCAATGAAAACTCTGAGCTGAGTGAATTGACAGCAGTATCCTCTGAGAGAATCTCCAGGACAAACTCTGACTCAAGTGAGTTGGAAAAAGTAATCTGTGTTAGAGCCGTGAATGACAGTAAAATAGAACAACTTGATGATGGTGACGAAGACATCGATTTTCCTAATTCATATGACAGTGTGATTAAGAGGACTGTGCACTTAATTGTATCATCTTTCGCACTCAGAATATTTGGAGTTTTGCTGACTTCTGTGGATTTGTCCCTCATCATTACAGACCTAATTGTCACTGATAACACAATGTATATTCCTTTGGAATTTCATTCAATTTCTTTAGCTATTGCTTTGTTTTGGGGGGGGGGGTTTGTTTTTTGTTTTTTATTTTGGTATCATTAATATACAATTACATGAGCAACATTATGATTACTAGACTCCCCCCATCATCAAGTCCCTACCACATACCCCATTACAGTCAGTCCATCAGCATAGTAAGATGCTATAGAATCACTACTTGTCTTCTCTGTGTTGTACAGCCTTCCCCATGCCCCCCCCATACTATGTCTGCTAATCGTAATGCCCCTTTCTCCCTCTTATCCCTCCCTTCCCACCCATTCTCCCCAGTCCCTTTCCCTTTGGTAACTGTTAGTCCATTCTTGGGTTCTGTGAGTCTGCTGCTGTTTTGTTCCTTCAGTTTTTTTCTTTGTTCTTATACTCCACATATGAGTGAAATCACTTGATACTTGTCTTTTTCTGCCTGGCTTATTTCACTGAGCATAATAATTGCTTTGTTTTTTTAATGGAGGTTCTTCGAGTATTTGTAGAAGGGATACAATCTTATTTTTCTGATATACTTAACTCATTAGATGCTGTCATTATTGTGGTAACTCTACTGGTTGATACTGTTCACATTTTTTAGGACTTTAAGGTTCTTAAAGATACTCCCAGATTGGCAATTTTATTTCAATTCTACAACTTATCATTCTGATAAGAGTTTTTCATCTGGCTTATCAAAAAAGACATCTTGAAACACTGTCCCGAAGGATGGTTTCAGGAAATAAGGATGGATTTGACTTAGATCGCACTTAAATTACTGAATGTATTATTGCCATGTCATTCCCATCTTCTAGAAAGGTGTCTTTTTATAGGAATCCCATCAAGCAAGTTGTATGATTCCTGGATACCAAGCATCTCAATTACTACCAAGTCTACAATCTATACAGTGAAGAAGATTATGACCCTAAGTATTCCATTATAGGGTCCATAGAATAATGATTGGTGATCACAATGTTCCCTCTCTGAGTGAGGTACTGGCATTCACCAAGGAAGTAGATGAGTGGATGGCTCAAGATAAAGGAAATATCATTGTGACTCACTGTAAGGGAGGCAAAGGCAGAACTGGAATAATGGTGTGTGCCTGCCTTATTGCCAGTGAAATATTTAAAACTGCAGAGGACAGACTTTATCACTTTGGAGAATGATGAACAGATAGAAGCACCAGCACTAAATTTTAGGGGGCAGAAACTCCTTCTCAGAGCAGATATGTTGGATATTTTGCGGGTGTGAAAAATATCTACAACTGGACTCTCCCTCCAATAAAAGTACTCACAATAAAAAAGCTCATTATTTATTTGATTCATGGTGTTGGAAAAGGTAATGGAACTGATCTAAAAGTACACATAACAATGCAGCAAAAGACCTTCTTTTTCTGTTCTGCTTCTAAAAAATGTATGATAACTCACAATGTTGAAGCAGACAGAGTAATAATTAACCTGGTCAGCTGTCCACCTCTGTATGATAATGTGAAAGTGCAATTTCTCTCTTCGCATCTTCCTAAATACTGCGACAACTGCCCATTTTTCTTCTGGTTCCATACATCTTTTATACAAAGTAACAGACTTTATCTTTCAAGAAATGAATTGGATAATCTCCATAAACCCAAAATATGGAAAATCTACCATCCAGAGTCTGCAGTTGAGAATTTTGATGAAGTCTTAGCTGGGACCTAATTAAGTGCTGTCCCCCTTCTAGGATAGAGTCATGTTCCTCACAATCCCTGCTACTTCCTTGTATCTTCTGAACCTACTTCCGTGCTAGCATCCTTATTTACACACACGTACATGTGTTTTTGGAAACCTATTAATTGCATACAAGATAATAAATAAATAAATTAGGAAAAAAATAAGATTTACCAGACATTATCTCACTGAGTGCCCAGGGTGACCTTTTAACATTTGAAACCTGGTGTCAGAGATGCAAAAGTGACCAGTTCAAGGTCACAAGGCAGACTGACTGTAGCACAGCAAGGACACCCAACCCCAGACCGTCACCTCCCAGCCCCAAGCTTCTCCCTCACACCGCAGCTGCTCCCTTCGTCCCTGAAACCTCCAGGTCAGGTGTGTATGTGCTCTGAGTACAAATCCTAAAACACATCTTAAACAAAAAGACCCAGAATGAACAGGAGACATATGAGGGCTCTATCCAGAGAAGGCTGATAAAATTTCTTTTCACATAAAATTAGAGAAACACTACAAACTCTAACATCTAGTTTATACCCTTATAATAAAAGCCCTTTGAAGGTGGCAACAGCACAGATGTCCCTGTCTTTTTTGTTCCCCTATTCCTCCTTTATTGCTTGACTTTTCATTAGGTGAATATTTTCTATTGACCTTTAATTTTTTTACACACTATTCAGTGACATATAGAAACATTACTCCTATATAGTTCTATTCCCCTTTCCTCCTTTTTGTTTTATTATTATACATGTCAATCTATATATATTACAAACCCGAAAATATATTATTTCTTTATATAACTTTATGTATTTACAGAAACTGAGAGAAGGAAAGTGAATATATATTTGCAGAGTTTGTTATGCTCACCTTCTTACTTACCACTCTGATTCTCTGGCTTGGGGTGTATCTATAATATATTATCTAATCTCTGAGCCCCACACCCTTGAGCTAGGCTCAAGAACAGTGGCTCACTCCTCTCAGATGACAACCTCACCTGACGAAGAGCATGCAGGGTGGAGGCAGCACCTTTGATCTTCTTGGCTTGACTCTTCTAGAAGTGAACCTCCCCTACAAGCAAAATGGGGTGATTGAGGGCAATTAGGGGCCTAGTATCCTCAGCTTGTCACAGAGCCTCCACCATATGAGTGGGCCTGCCTACCCTCTCCTGTAATTTAGCTCTGCAACATAGAGCTTGCGGGAAATGAAACGTGCTGGCAATCTGCCCCTCCTAGGGAGCAACATTAGCCCAGGATGGAAACTTGGGGGACAGGGAGCCCCATCTTCTTGGCCATACCCAGCCAGAGCACAGCTTCTGTCATGCTGAGCTCGATTTTCTTGAATAAATGTATCTTCATTTTCTGTATGTCCTAAGGACAATTTCCAGATATTTTAATTGATTGCTTTCTTAAGACAAATTTCACCAGTTATTGCTGTGTTGCTGAGAAGATCTGCAGAGCATCTAGTACTACCATTCCAGAAGTGGATCCCAATAAATTTATACTTAATTCCTAACAATCAATGGAATATTATGCCCAAGTTCCTTTTAGTCTAATACTCCATGTTAGGGAAGCTGGCATTAACCAATAGACTATGAATTCTACACACTATAAGGAAACTTCCTCTGAGCAGGAACTAAGGCATGTCTTTAAAAACACATTCTTTTTTGTTAAAAATGTCACCCAGATGTATATTCTGATTAGCAAGTCATTTGTAAAATGTGAGGAAACATTACCATGCATGAGAGGCATGTGACCAGAGATCAGATCATGAGGAGGTCAGAGTAAGCAGACAAGCCACACAAAATCCTCATAGATAAATCCCCCTCAAGTAGCCCCCTCTACACATAAGGGTCTCATGTCATTGTGGGCCACTCAGCTGAGAAGTTCAAAACAGTTCCAATCAATATCCAGATGAAATGTGGTGTTCATCCCTCCCCTCCCAAAAACCCAAAGGGCTTCAGGTATCCAGGCATGGGAAAGAAGGGAGCTGCCAGCACATTCTTGAAAATCACCAAGTGTTATCCACTCCCCACAGGCAGCAGACAGCATTCTCAGAATCCAAATTGAAGAGGGAACTGGGGATGTGAAGACACCACCCAACCACCTTGCCCCTGATGGGCAGTGGGAGGGTAAGAGGTGGGACGGATGGCTCCAGGGCTGGCTCTGCCATGCAGGAACTAAGAACTAAACTGGAGCCTGGACCCCCTCCGGCCCCAGACTCCTTGTCTATAAAATGGGGCTCCCCAATAACCTACAAAACCCAAATGGTATTTAGCAAACTGCTATTATTCTGGACAGGGGTCCTCACTAGGCTCCATTTCCTCTATGGGTTCCTCCAGATATCAAACTAATGCCAGAAGGTCCAAGGGCTATGCTTCCTGTGCAGGCCCTGTGGACACGCCTTCCAGAGTCAGCCCCTGCCTGGACCTCCCCAGGACATGACTGTGCTCCCCTTCATGAACGCACCAAACAAGTTATCCCTGAAGGGCCCCTGCCATCTAAGACCCAGATCCCTGCCCTCACACCCCTCTGAGATCTCCTCCCAGCCAGTGAGGGTGGGACAGATTCCAGGAGTAAGATGGGAATGAGGGATAAAGAATATAATGTACTGCCCCCCCCAGGGACAGCATATCAACAGGGACTACCCCTTCAGACAAAGATGTTCAAGGATGGAAATCTCTGGCAGCTGATTTTGGTCAGTGAAATATCACTTGGATGGCAATTTTTTATAAGCAAGCCACACCAGGAGAAAATTGCTCTCAAGTATTCTCTGTCCTGAATTTAAGGACTACTCTGAACAAGAGACCCATAACACAGACCCAGGCTTGTGCCTCACTGGCATGCCCCTGACAGTCATTCACTTCCCTGGGGCTCCCCTGCAAGTCTAAGGTATGAACAGGAAGATGAACACAGCTACAGGTATGCCTGTAGACAAAGACGCCATGTCCAGTGTGCACAGGGCTGCCATCTCTATGTTAAGTGCCCTTGGCTTGCTGCTCCTTCTCTGTTGTTACATCTGCTCACTCATATGACAGCTTCACTCTCTTCACCTGCACTCAGATTATCAGCTTTCAGTGTTCCTGTCAATTGACACTATGCTGTGTCTCCCACAGAGATGACAGCGAGTGTGTGTGAACACTTTAAAGAGAACATCCCCTGGGTGAGGGCCCTAGGGGCTCAAAGGCACTCGGTTTACCCTCCCCTCCCAGATCCCACCCTGCATGGGGCCCATGGATGGCAGCTCTCAAGACCCTCCTGCCTTAGGTGTTCCTGGGCTACCAGGTCGGGGGCAGCATGCATTCAGGGATGCAGCTGCTGAATACATAAACTGATCCCCAAACTGTCTGACTGTGTTACCACTCATAATGTGACCATTCTCTGCAAGTGCACAAAGCCCAGTCCCACTCCCAATTTGTTTTTGATTAACTGGGACTCAGCTGTAATTAGATACAGACTGAACTTCTTGTTCCTACTATTGTCTATCTGACCCAATTTGGGTTCTTATTTTTTTCTCCATTACCATAAAGAAATAAAACTTCATTTTGTTTTTACCCTCTGCAATTTTTTTAAATTAAAAAGTTAGCTTTAAAATGCTTCTTTTCTTTGTTAAGTTTTTTATTCTGTTCTAAACAGTAAAAGCCCATGTGTTGTAAAATAATAATTTTGGAAAACAAACAAAACCTTCATGATATACTACAACACTCAAAGAACCAAGTATTTCATCTCCAGATGTTATTTGGCCAGATGCAGGGACAGCCTCCCCCTCACCGAGCTGTCAACACCAACAGGGGCAGAAGGGAAATGCTCTAGATTCCCACTCACCTACTGAGGCCCGTGCATCACAGGTCAACGGTGACCCTAGCTGCAGTTGAAATACAATGAGAGGAAGAGGAAACCCCAAAAGGACAATAAAGGGTCAGGGCCGAACCACACCACAAACACCTCCAGAAGTACCTGAGGTGTCAAACCCCTCCGCATGACACCCCTAAGCTCTTCCTCCACATGTACCCTAACACCACTGAAGCAGGGACTTGGGGGTACCTCCTGTGAGGCCCAACTCAGAGCACCACCACGGGATGGACACTGCCCCCCGACGTGGGCATCTTCATCTTCACATGGGGCCCCACTCCCCAGAGCCAGGTCCTTCTGAAACCGCCTTCTCCCTCCTTTTAGATTCCTGCATAAGCAGCATGGTCAGAAAAAGGAAACCGCAGAAAAACCCAGCCCTTCAACAGTACATTCTCAGCTTCCTGGACTGTCAGCTGCGTGTTTCCCTCCTGCTCCGCCGCTAGTCTTCATCTCAGCTGACAGTACCAGCCTTCTCCAGGCGGCTCGTGCCCAAAACATGGAGTCGTCTTTGCTTCTTCTCTCAGTCCCTCCCTCCCCTACATCCAACGCATCAACAAGTCCTGGTGACACACCCAGGGGCAGGGCACTTATCACTGTCACCACAGCTCCCACCTCGGTCCCAGCCACCACACCCTAGGAGGGCATAAGGAGTTCTGCATAAACTCCATCATGCTGGGTCTTTCTAGACTGTCCACATCACCTCACATGCATGTGGACCCTTCAACAATGCTAATTCCATACAGAAGGAGCAGAAAAGGCAGGCAAAATTTGACAGCTGCCTAGGGGGAGGATGTGAACACCCTATGTGCAATGACCCATGTCATCCAGGAACAAAAACATAGACTAAATAGTTACAGACTTCCTCACACCATCTCTGTCCCAGAAACAATTACCATTCATAGTTCCAGGGGGGCACACACATCCCTGTGCATCCACTTAGCCTCAGGAAGGTGCGGGAGCAGAGTTTGCTCTGCCAAGAAAATTCTAGGTCCAAATTTCCCTTGGAATCAGACGGTCAAGAGTCAAGCACCTTGGGGCTCCAGCACAGTGGCCCAAATCCCCAAGATAAAAGACCCTAAACCACTTGGTACTGATGGTGTCAACAGATGGTGTGTAAATGACAGCTCCCATCTAGTGCTTCTGTGAACCAGTGCCCGTCAGTCAGCATGACAGGAGCATCGCTCTTTGCGACCATCCAGGGCGAACACAGGGACAGGGACGGGTTGCAGGGCAAGTATGTGTGTATGTCTCCACTCTCCTGCACCTTGCCAATTTTATCCACTAAGTCATCTGGCAATGATGCCTAAACCCCCCTCCCTCCACCCGAACGACTCCCTTGAGGCCCAGTCCAGCATTTCCAAGTCAACTGGCCACCAGCCCTGGAATCCTGACATCCACTGGAACCTGAATCCATGTTCCCTGCAGAACTGGCTTCTGCTGGATTCTCTCTCTGGCATGTCACTCTCAGGAGCTCAGACACACATGATACCACTTTCCAACCATCAACCAAACTGGGTGGCTACTGACTCCTGACCCCCTTCCTGGGAGACTTCTCTGCTTTCAACACCTTCTTTTCTTTAGTCTCACTCCACCCCACATGGGCCAAAGCAACAGGCTCTGAACAGGCTTCCCAGTGAGGCTGAGGGCCAAAGACTACATCATTTATACACTCACACATGCACACACTCACCAAAGGCAAGGGTCCAATGTCTTTAGGTGGGGGTGTGAGGCTTCATTCGGTCCCCTGCACCTGTAGCTTCCACACTGCAATTCCCACCCCACCCCACATACAGGAGCCAGTTCCTACCCATCTTCCAGTTCTCCCCCTGAACCCCAGCCTCCAGCAACCTCCCTAAGGAGCTCTCTCTATGCTTCCTGTCTTCACAGTTCATTGTATGTCCAAACCTTCTCTTCCATCAGTTTCTTTTCTTGGGTTAAACTTCACTGCTTTTGACCAAGAGTCACACAGGACTCAGAGAGCAGGAATCATTCATTCAAGACCTGGTTATGACATCTCCATCCCAAGCCAGTAAGAGTATGTGTGACCTCAGGGTCAGAGTGAAAGCTGTGCAGAAAGATATCACCCTATAGGGACAACCTCAGAAACAGAACTCAGAATGAAGTGCATGTCAGGTTTGCAGCTCACAGATGGTATCTGTGGAGCCCAAGAAGGAGGCAGAGCTGGCCAATGGAGAGAGATTCAATAATGTCTTCCTGGCA